AGTGGATTCTGCCCCCCACCCCAGAGGAAGGCGGTGAGAGTCTCAGAAAGTAGGCACTTAACCCAGTGGAAGGGCTCCCCTTCATCGCCCGCCTGGCTGCCTTACTGCCTCATGGGGCGGCAGAGGAGCCTCTGGCTATAAACATAGCTTAAGACCACAGGGCAAACATGAAACCTTTTTCGATTTCTCCTGTTTGACCTCTCAAGATTATGGGCATTTTGTTACAATATATGCCATCACTGTTTTAATATAAAATCTGTCATTTCAAACATCTGCATAGCACCTGTACTCCTCCAGGAAAACATCTTATTTATCCTGTGGTTTTGCATCTCAGCAATACATTCTGGCTACCCGTGCCTTCACCCAAGGTTGAAGGGTCCCATTTTTAGAAACAACAGGTCAAGCCAATAAGCTTCATCCTTGCTCTTCACTTGCTGCTTTTTCAGAAGGGGTCGGGGAGACTTCTATAGGAACTTTCACGGACACTGGTGCTGGCAGACACCTCAGTGGTGACAGAAACTGTTCACAAGAATCACTTTTTTCTAGCAGGCCCCTTCTTCCCCTAGGGCAAGAAGCTGAGCATTGGTGAAGGGCCCCTGTGGAACCCGCAGAGAGGCCCTATTCTCTCCTCTAGGGATATACTGATTTGTCACCAGGGCCTGCAAAGGAAGCTGACGGTCAGGTCCCAACTCCTACCTACCCTGTTCTGGGACCATCAAGGCTTTGACCCCAGGGAGGCCAGTTTTACCTCCACTTATTTCTGGGATCTCCTCCACCTTCAGGCTTCAGAGGCCTCAGCAAAGGACAGTCCTATCTACTGAACAGAAACTCCATGGCAGGGCTCTACAGATAACGACCTGCAGGCTCAGGGAGATAGAGTCACTTGCCCAAAGTCACAGAGCTCCTCAGTGGCAAAGCTGGCTGCACCTCCCATAACGGACACTTTCCTGTGTAGCACCTGCATCCTGCTGCCAGTCAAAGGACCAGTTCCCCAGGGACAGGGCCTGCATTTTCTGTACCCCTAGCACCCAGCTGGGCCTATCAGGCGTTCTCAAGTGCTTGCTGAGTTTAATCATTATCAGTAGCTCTTGGGTCCTGGAGACCCATGTCCCTGCCCACTGGCTGATTTCCGGGGACTCAGACTTCCTGAAAACCCTGTCTGGAGGGGAAACCCCACCACTCGGCCTGCCCTTCCTTCTACCTTTCTGCCCAGGCCTGAGGAAGACACAGCCTCAAACAGCAGCCTCCAACCTAGGGGGCTGGCCTCATTTCTCCTCCAGAACTCCTTCATAGCTCGGCCAGGGCGATGGAAACCTGTCTGTCCCCCTGGCCACTATGTGAGTAGGGGTCAGCTGGGGGCCTGCCCTCAACCACACTCCCTGCTTTTGCTTAGTTCACTGAAACAGGCTGGAAAGCCTCCTCTTCCTCCTTCAACCTCAGGGTCCTTCCAGGAAGGATCAAGCCAGGACCTCCTGTCTTAGTAAATTAAGGAGAAAGGTCTGTGGCAGTAGACCAACAAAAGGGCTTTAAAAAAGAACAGATACTTGGGACTACACTCCAGGCCATTTAAGTCAGAATTCCTGGGGGTGAGGTGGGATGGGATGGGGGCCTGGTATTAATATTTAAAAGAATAATCTTTGGGATTCCATCAGATTCTCAGAAATAGGCCCCACAAAGTGTTAAGCACCAATAATGGTTATACCATCTGGTCAGACAAGCCAGGCCAGAAATCCAAGGCCTCAGCATGGTTTATACACTAGTACCACCTTCCCAGGGCAGGCTAATCCCTTCTACTCCTTCAGGACTTAAGCCTTAAGTGACAAATCTCAGCTTTGTTGGGATCCTATAGGCAGGCAGAACAGAGGAAGGGGGCAGCCTGTGTCCTTGGGGTCAACACTACCTTTTCCTTCTACTACCAAAGGGGCCAACTTCAGACTTGGTTCACTTTTACCAAAAATCCAGCCTCTCAAGAATCCCGGGGCCTGTCCCTTCAGCTCCAGTACTGAGACCTGTACTCCCCCCCGCCCCCAACTCTGGCTGAGGGAGGCCACCCACTGGTTACAGGCCAGAGGGGAAGCTGGGTCTCAAGGCCTCAGCCCTGTCCAGGGTCCTGACTCCTGATCCGAACACTTTTTTCTGCCCTACAGCACCTTACTCCAGTGTAGATGGGGCTCTGAGATTTATACCTTCGGGTGCACTGGGAAGGGCAGCCCCTGACAGGTCATCACAGGGGCAGTCGCCCATCTGGCATAAACCCAAGCCCAGCCCTTTCTGTGGCTTTTGGCTTAACTAGGTGTTGGTACTGCTGCTATGCTATATACTCCTGGCCCTCAAATCCCCCATGCCATCACTGTCCACATTCAGAGATGAAGAGACAAAGGGAACCAAGGGTTCCCCACCAGGGAGGGGAATGCACCATGCACATCCATTTGCAAACATTGTGGCTGGGACCTTGGGCCAGACTGACAACTACCCCACATGTGTCTTACTTTAGAGTACTGTAAAGTTGGGACTCCCAGATCCCCTTTCACCAGGGCGACCAAAGCCCTTGGTCCCCAGGCCCAGCAGACTCTAAAGGCCCGCCTCTCCAACCCATTCACAGAAAGAGAGGGGAACAGCCCAGAGAGGAGATTTAGTGTTAACGTTATCTGCCGCCAAATCGTTGCTTTTCATCTCTGCCTTCTCATGAGCCAAATAATTTGGAAGCTTTCATTGATGGTTTCCTCTCGGCCCCACGATCACTTGGAATTTATGCCGGCTATGGCTCAGCCTCCTCACTTAGGGGACAAGGGAAACCTCACAGGCTGCACTCCAGCCTGCTGTGGGAGGAAAAGCTTGTCCTTGGCGACAGTTCAAGGCAGTGAGGACTTCCTCAGCCCTCCTGGAGCCCAGGACTTGAGGGCGGGTGATGCCAGTCAGGCCTCAGAGCTGCCTGCAGAGGCCCCTGGGCTCGAACCCAGAGCCATGCACAACCATTAGCCAGCAAGGCCTGGCATCAACGGCCTTTTGATGATTTAACTCTATTTTTAGGTGGAGAAAGGTTCAAAGGCTCTGCGCTGGAAAACCCAAGAGGGAGGGGAATTTTCAACCCCATGCAAATCACTCTTCCCCTCGGCCTTTGCAGACACCTGTTTCCTCCCAGCCCCTGGCCTATCCAGGATAGAGATGGCAGTCCTGCCCCTGGGATTTCTACCCTGAGAAATGGCCCCACCTCCTCCTGGAGCTTGGAGGAAGCAGGGTAGGCAGAGTCTGGGGAACCAGCCAGCCCCAGGAGCTCCCCAGAACTGCCCAACTCTTCTCCAACATTGAGAGCAGGGGCAGGCAGAATCCTCATCTCCAAAATGGGAAGAGAATTCCTGCTTCCTAGGTACTTGGAAGGCACATAAAGGTGGCTATTGTTTTACTAATTCAACCATAGCCACTGGGGAGCCCCTGTGGCTCTAAGAAGAGGGTGGGGGAGGACAGGTGGGGAATAAGGGTGGAGGAGCAGAAAGGCAGCCCCAGAGGCTCCCAGGGCTCTAGAGCACACTCTGCCTCTTATGTCCCAGTGCCCTTGAGCACATCCCATATAGCCACTGAGCAGGGCTAGTCCACGAGGGCACTAAGAATCTCAAAACAGCATCCCCCTGCCCACCTCTTGTTCCAGTCCTCACGGCATTCCTAGAGGTATCTCCTTCCATCTCCACCCCTCTCCCACAGGGCCAAAGGAAGACACTAAGTTAAAGGATGGGGATGGGAGACATCGGGTCTCAACTACCTGCCCTCCCCTGCCAAACATACAAAAGTCCTAGGCTAGGCCAGCTCCAGGACCTGGGGAGTTATTTTTCAAATGCAAGGTTCTACAAAAGATGCCTCCACTGCATCTTAGGGGCTGGCTAACTACTGCTGCTCAGGATTGGCCCCCATAGTCATGAATGCCCCTGTGGTTAGTGGGGAGAGAGGACTCCAGGCTCAGAACAAAGATACCCTCCCCCACTCCATGTCAGGAGCTCTGCCTCAAGACTCTAGGCCCTTCTACCCTTGGCACTACTGGCCTCAAGAGCGTCAAGTCCTGGCTATACAGATCCTCAATTTCTTTACTGTAAGAGGAGGATTGAGAACCCTAAGTTACTTTTAAGGATTAAAAAAGTCAAGTGTTCAGCCCAGCTCCTGGCTACTCTGTAGGCTACAGAACAATGTCTCTCTTAAGGCCCAGATTCAAACCCCCTGCTTCTTGGGTGTTCAATGCTCTTTCAATTGCTTCTGGGCCAAGGGCATCTGCTGTCCCCAGTGCAATGCACTGAAGACCTGAAAGAGAGTGATGTGGCCCTAGGATGTGATTTGTCAGTGGCCACAAGAAGCAGGATCACAATGGCCCCACATGTCCAGCACTACCCACCCCTGACACACTTCTCCACAGTTCAAGAAGTCAAACACCTCTACCTGCCACAAGAAACATCCCAGGTCAGAGTAAGGAAGACTTAGAATGCAGGTGAAACAGGAAGAATAAGGAGCAGATGACCTAACTGGATAGATGATCCTGAGGACCACAGCCGTCACCCCTGTATCAGCACATCCCATCACCCTTGGCTTAGCCACCAGAACACCCCAAATCCTACTGCTTCTTTCTCCACTGCTACTACTCAGCTCTCAGCCACCACTGCTTTTCTTCTGGACAACTGCAAAAGAGTCCTCCTTTCTCCTCACAGCAGTCAGTGGGGCCTTTTATTAAAACATCAGGCTATGTCATTACCCTGCTTATGATCCTTGAAAGGCTCCTCTTCTTGCTCAGCTCACTTGGAACATTTTTACAACATCCTACAAAGCTTGGCATCCACACCCCCTCCTCCCATTCATTCCACTCAACCACTCTGGCCTCGCTCTGGTGACTGGACCCTCTGCCAGGAACGCTCTCTCCCATACATCTGCAGAGTTGTATTCCCTTAACCGTCCACAGGTCTCTTCTCCTGTGGCTTCTCCACCACTGCTTCATCTTTCTCTGGACACCTGTCACTACCCACCTCGGAGGGCTTCTTTTCGTTCTGCCGGGGCCAGCCCGACTTGGTGCTGCTGGGCAGTTTGGAGCATCTTGATGCAGATGTAGCGTGACCTGCAGAGAGAGCACAGCCCATTAGGGGCCCCTGGAAGGCAGGGAACACCACCCACCCACCCACATCCAAGGATAGGAAGCCTGTAAGGAAGGGTCTGGCTTGAATGTTCAGCAGGTGGAAACCTCTGTGAGCACCTGTCCCTGCTCTGGACTTCATCAATGATGAATGCGGACATGAATACCTCCTCCACTCACTAAGCATAAGGGACTTAGGAAATAAAAGGCAGTGGCCAGGACTCAGTATTAGTTTACTGTACGACCCGTGACAAGTCCCTTGCCCTCTTTGGTCCTCTGCTTCCTCCTTGGTGAAGGAGGACCAGAATAAGCCTTCTGTGGCCACTCTTCATTCCTGCCCCAGGTTTAGATACTCTGGGATGATGCCCAGTGGATATAAAGAGGGACAAAAGGGAGGTGGGAAGAACGCTACGCTACAAGTAGACCCATTTCCTAACTTGTCACCCTGGGCAAATGACTTACCCTCTTGGAGTCTCAGTTTGCCCTTCTCTAAAATGGGGGCAAAAGGTTGTTGGGAGGATGAAATAGTATTATGCCTGTAAAGTGTCAGTACAGTCCCTGGCACAAACCACCGCCTCCATAAATATTAGCGATTATCATTAGGGTTTAAGACCCTTACTGGACTCAAAGACTGTGACCTCCACCCCAAGGGTCAAAGGAGCAACAGCCATGGGGGTGTACAGTGGTGGGGGCTGGTGGAAAGGGAGTACCCTTGCCCAACTGTGATTCAGCTGCCCAGACAGCCACTCTTGCAGGTGCCTGGCCTTCAAGAGTTCCTTCGTCTGCAATGGAGTTAGAAGCAGAGGATGCGGTTCTTCTTGGCTCTACTGAGACAAGCCACAGGCAGTGTGGTTGTGGCCACAGAGGGCCGGATGCTGTGATCTCCTGCTGCAGGGAGGAAGGGCTGGCCAGGTTAGACACCAGAGCCAAGGCGAGCAAACAGACCCCAAAGGACAGTGAACGAGACCTGGAGGTAGGGAAGGGGCTGGGATGGACTGGCCATCTTGGGTGCATCTATCTTCAGGCTGTTGGGGGGCTGTGAAACTCCAGGAGCTCCAAGGGGCCTTGGAGATCTCCCAAATCCCAGTTGCTCACCACATATGAACAGACTGAGGTTTAGAGCTACAGGGCTCCAGGCCCAGCCTCCCTGGCAGTTAGTTCAGCCTCTTCCTCAGCCTGGGCTCCCACCAGCATGCACTGTTGGTGGGATCTGCCTGGCAGCGCACCTCTCCTACATAGGGCAGAACAGAACTCCTTACTTGGCTATTTCATGCAGGCCCAGGTTCCTGCAGCATCTGGGAAGAGCTGCCTTTTGGTACCAGAGAGAAGCTCTCTCCTTATACAAACCTCCCTTACCCCCCCCCAAATTTGAGAAGAGGCTCCCTAAGCTCCCTTTTCTCTTTGACCCCTTTTTCTTTGCGGCTCCCTTGACCCCAGGACATCCAGCTTCCACACCCAGCCCATACACAAGTCTACCTCTGAGATTCTACTGCCAAGATGCCTCATTAACTCCCTCGACAAGCATTTATTTAACACCTATTATGTGCTGGATCTAGCTGGGGATACAGCAGTGAGCCAAACATAACCCCTCTCATCAAGGAGCTTATGGCTCGTCAGGACATGATATTCATATCGGGTAATTATAATAAAAAGAAACAGGTTTTCTGTCCGTTGTGTAGAGACTTCCGACAGGGCCCTGATTTAACAGAAGGGCCAGAGGGAATGGGAAGTGTTCTGAGGAGCCAGGTGCAGCATATGCAAACACCCAGAAGGGATTTGATCTTTTCCAACCAGATCAAAACACATGGGACTGAGACCTAGGGGATAAAAGGGTACAGGGTGAATAGAACACCAGGCTCTGGAGGCCACAGGGTGTGGAGACTTTCGTAGGAGCACAAGGACCTGGCCTGATTTATGCTTTAGTCAACATGGAGACCATGGGGCAGCCTCCCCCAATCTGGGTCTGTGGGCCTGTTAATTATTTAAATGCTTTCCTTGTAGGAGCCCCAAGCAGGAAGGCCTTACTGTCAGTGGTGTCAGAGTTGTCGCTGCTGATGGAGTATTTTCGCCTCTTCTCTTCCATCTGCAATAAAAGGCAGGCCCCATTACATTTACAGGAGGCATAGGAAATCTTCAATCTCTCAGAAAATTGCCTGATCACCTACCTCCCCATACTCCCCCCTGCTTCAGTGAAGAATGAGACTAGGTCCTGCCGTAGCCTTCTCCCCAGCCATCCTCGCCCTCTCCCCACCCACCCACCCACAGGACTCCTGGGGGTGGGGCAGGGGGCTGCATCTCCCACTTCCTGAGCTCAAAGCCTCAGATGAGCAGGAGTCTGCCAAAGACGACAGAGGGAGGAGGGCAAGGGGGTCAGCAGCCCCAGAACAATGATTAGCGTCTGCCCAGCCCCAGCTTCCACTCAAGGCAACTCAGGCCTTCCAGAGAATCCACTCCCATCGAGTTATAACTGGTGTTCTGCAGGGTGCCGAGGAGGGGCAGGAAGAGGAAACAAGATTCTTCCAGAGGGACCATTGCTATGTGAGTTTAGAGACAAGCCAGCTCACACAGCACTAAGGGCACATCCTGAGAGTAGTGGCCAGAGGGGTGTGGAAAAGGGGTAGGGGCAGAATGGCTCCAAGTTGGGTCCCTGAGACACACCAGGCCCAGGGTGACTGGTCCTAGGCTGGGCTGCCCTCCCTCCCCCAATGTCCTTCTCCACATTAGAGTTCAAATCAACTTTATCTCAACTATAGTATTTGACTTCAAGGTAAGAAGGGAAGCTCTCCATACTGAGCTCATTCCTCTACCAACACTACCTCAGCTCGTGTTCCTAACAACCCGGAAGTTGCGAGCTATTGGCTCCCCTTTCTGGAGTGGTGCAGGACCTTGTTGTGCTAGTAACTGGCTGAACTGGGATTTGAATCCACGTGGTCTGATCCCTGAGCCCACACTGAGCTGCCTTTGTGCCCTGTGAGCTCCTGCCTGTTGGGAGTGCTTTCCCACCCACCATTTCCTCGAATCCCGCAGAACCCAGAGTGGCAGAACTTGCTTTTGACTCCTCTTGGAGGGGAGCACACCAAGTGGCTGGTTCACCTGCCTTGGGTCTCACAGCTAGTCAGTGGCTGGAGTCCTAATGTGAGAAGAGATCTGGGATTCAGGACCCAAAGCATTTTCCACCACATCCCTCTTAGTCTGGAACCTGGGCTTCCTCACTGCCCACAGTAAAGGGCAAAGAGCCAGTGTCAGTAGAGAGAAAACCCCTGCTGCCCAGCCCGGCTGCAGGCCAACCAGGTTCCCCACCTTCCCATGGGCTGCCTGCCACTGCCAACCCCTCCAAGTCTGTTCCTGCCGAGCCCTGGGTTTCCCTTTATCTTATTGTGGCCCTGCAGAGACAAGGGAACATTAGCTCTCCAGGGCAGGGGCATGACTGTCCAGACCTCTGAGCCAGCCAGGACCCTCCTGCCTCAGACCTAACCTTAGTCAGGAGCTTCTCCCCACACCAGTGTCCAACAGTAGGATCAGGATGACAAAAACATTCACTGGGGCTGCTTGCTGCCAGCTCCAAAGGTGCAGGCAACAGGCTCTCCAGAGGGTGCAGAGGTGCAGGGGGGAGGTCTGAGGACACAGGCGGCATGGGTGCCAGGGAGGTTAAATAGCTCAACACTCATTGTGGCAGAAAAAGGGGGATGCCCTGCTACACAGGGACCTCACGAAACCCTCAGAACAGCCCTTGTGTGCCAGAGGGCATGATGACTGCTTCCCTTTTGCAGATTAGGAAAAGGAAGCACAGAGGTTAAGTGACTTTCCTAAGACTGTAAAGCTTGTGAGCATGTGCCCTTGACCTTTAGACTTCAGCCCCATGGCCTGGGTCATGGACTGAATGGGGCAATAATGCTCTGCCACCCACAGCTGTCATCTTTACAGTCCTCCAAGTTCTGAGTGTGACAAGATGACTTCGATAGGGCTCTGACTCTAGCCTGCATCTTGCCAGCCCAGTGCTCTCACAGGTGGGGCAGGGCGAGGAGAAGTGCTATAAACGCAAGCCACTGGTTTTCTCCTGAAGTCTTGCCCATGTCTCTCCACTTCCAGTAAAGAGGGCACTTCCAAGCCAGCGTTTCCCAAAGCAGAAAAGCAGAAGCTCTGGATTCAGGGGTGCCGAGTTCAAATCCTAGCTTTACCCCTCAAGAGACCAGAGACCTTGGAAAAGACATACCTCCCAGAGGATAAGGTTCTATCTGGATTTTTACAGAAGTCTCTTGAACTTCAAATGTTGGCAACTGATTCAGAATTTTTAAAAACACTTTGAGACGGCCAAACTAAACACATCCGTGGGCCAGAATCAGCTGGTGAGGATAAATGAGAGCAGCGTAAAACCTTAAGCACAGTGGCTGGCTCTCCATATAAGTGCTAGTCATATCGTGAGAACCCTGGGCCAGGTAAGGGGTCCTCCTACCAACGCCCTGAGGGGCTCATGTACAGCAAGGAAGGACTCCTATAACAGGGCTCTTCGATTGCCAACACCCTTCTCGTGATGCTGTTTCCTGTTGCCCAAGGACCAACAGGTAACCTGCCAGCTTTCAGACCTACACCCCACCCTCAGCCTGCTCCCAGTCCAACCTTCCCTCCGTGAAAACACCCCAGGATTCTTCTGGGTAGGGTGTTATTAAGGGAGCAGATTTTGTGTGGCTTAATTGGAATAATAACTAGGCTTCAGAGGGAAGCTACTTTTTTTGTTAGCGAAGTTTCTTTCCTTTGAATCAAGTCTGTTCCAAAGGTCTCCCTGCCTCAGGTGAACCTCCACTGTTAGTGGCTAATGAAGCTCCAAATGAGGCTTGGGCTTCCCTGTGGGACAGCCTTTTGTCCCTTGACTCCCCACCCCCAACTCAGCTAGGAGACAGGGAGGACTCCTTCCCCAAAGCTGAAATCCAGGTGGGGTGTGTGGGGGGCTGCTGACATTTTGGTCTTGGCCTCTGGTTTTCTCTCTCCACTGGCCCCTCCCATCTCTCCCAAAGCAAGGTCTGCTCTGGAAAAACACCCCAGTGTCACAAGGCGTTTTGCTTTTGGGGATAAAGGTGACCCCCTGAAAAGGGTCTCCTTTTCCTTCCCTTTGCACCTCCCACACCATCCCCAGCCTGGAGACAGAGAGCAGAAGCTCTCCTTCGGGAGCGTGGGTGTCCTAGAGTTCCCACAGCCTCTCTGTGCAATCTCTGCCCCCACAGTAGTCCCCTGGCAAGGCCAGGGGGCTCTCTGTCCAGAACATACTGGGAATCCATCCACTTTCCCCCATCTCTGCTGCTACCACACTGGTCCAAACCAGTCTCATCTCTTGCCTGGACTCCTCATTCATCTCCCACCTTCCACTGTTGCTCCCCTCCACCCCTCAATCTAGAATCCACACAGCAGCCAAAATGACCTTTAAAGAAACATAAATCAGATCATGTCATACCCCTATTTAAAATCTTTCAAAGGCTTCCTGCTGATCAAAGGGCAAAATTCAAGCTCTTTACCACAATATCCTACATGATCTGGCCCCTCCCTACCTCAACAAGTTCACATGGACCACTATCCCTTTCCTCACCACTTTCTAGCCACACTGGTCTCCTTTCATTTCCTGAAACAAGCCAAATATTCCATGCTTCAGGACCAGTGCACAAGCTGCGCTCTCTGCTGTAAGGTTCTAGTAGTCTATGCATGTCTGACTTTTTATCCTTCACATTTCAACTTAAAGGTCAAGGAGGTTTATGCCAGTTACCTTATCTAAAGAAAACCCACAACCTGGTTATTCAACATCTTCAGAGCATCCACCATGATTAGTGTCTGTTGAGCTACTTGTTCAATGTCCTCTTTGGAGAAGAGGGGAAGGAGCATGTCTGTCTGGATCTCTGCTGGAGCTCCAGTACCCGCTCGTGTTATGTCCAGCACACAAAAGGGGTTTGATACACAGGGATGCTGAGTGAATTCTTGTCCCCTCCCTGTAGAAGTGTGGGGTGCACAGAGCCCAGCTGGCTGGCCTTGCAGCTTGCAGGAACATACACCCCAGGCCAAGATTTCGTCCTGTTTTCACAGCCTGCCTTCCCCATCTTAACCTCACACATTTTCCAGGAGGCTTTATTTGGTTGGGCTCCTGGCTAATGATCAATGTCAACTCAGTAATAGGGCAGCAATTTGGTGGCAGATGTTTTCTTGGCAGCACTAGCCATTGGTCTTAGTGGGGGCCTCGGTTCTGGACTTGAAACACCAATGCCCAATGCCAGCCCCCTTTAAAGACCTCGCCACAAATAAACTCAAATAAACACCCTGGGCCTCCATTAACGCCCTTCCAGCTGACCCTGGGAACAGTGGGCCTTTCAGGCCTGCTAGTGCAGCCGCTCCCTGGGCAGTTAAAACACCCCAACCTGGCCTCCGGCCTCTCCTCTCTGGGGGCCACCAGGCCTGCCCTGCCCGCCACCACACACAGCAGGACTTCGTCTTCCTCCTTAAAAAGGGGGGGAAAACAGCTTTCAAGCAGGCAATTTACCATTCCAGACACAATCTTTCAAAGAGAAACAAAAAGTCTCCCTGTCTGAGGCAGACCGCTTAGGCGTGTGTGTAATAAGATGCTAATACAATTTAATGATATTTCGGCTGGAAAACCTGTCCTCAGAGCCTCCTTGTGTCGGGAAGGCCAGACATTCAGAAAACAAGAGCTGCACACTCTTAAACCAGCTTTAAACGGGGGTCAGAGCCCCAGTCTTTCCTATCTCTCATTAACTTTAATGCCTTCTGAGGGACAGTAATTGCCATTACAAAAAATGATTTTGTACACACAGATCCTCAAACTTGCTTCTCCAAGCAGAGGGGAGCCTAAACCCTCCTCCAACACTCATCACTGCCCACTTGCAATTCCAAGTGTCCCTAGGGCACCCAACTCCCTGGAACACGCTGCCCACACCGACCCTCCAAACCCAGTTCTGGGGACATACCTAGGGGATCCTGGAAGAATGAAAAGGGGCTTTGTCTACTTTGTCCTTCGGCACCTTCTCACCCTACCCTCCACCTCAGAGGGCAATGCTCAGTCCACTTGGTCCCACAGATGGCTGCCCA